GGATGTGACGTTTTTCCTAGATACGCTTAGCAACCAAAATGGTGGCAAAATCAATAATTATAAAAAACTTCATAAAAATCTATATTTCTTCTGAAAAGAGTCAGTACAAGAAACAACAGACAATTTATCTTCATTGGTTTCATATTCATACCCTATTTGATGATCAAAAAAATAATATTATAATAATAGTTTTATCATTCTAATATGGTATATCACAATGACATTAAGTAACTTTTTTTGAAGAAACATAGCTTTAAAATAATTATGAAAATATACAAACCGTACAAAAGGCATGAACATAGATTCATACAAAATTATACCTCTTCAAATAGTATAGTTTTCCAGAAAAGGCGTTTACAAAACAGACCATAAATAAACTAAAAAATGAATATATTTCTATTTTATAAAACTGCAGTGGAAAGCTAGTAGTTACAGACCATGTAACACAATAATATCCTTCTTCTACCCAAATAACACTTACTAACTCTGCCCCAGATTGGAGAAAAGGTGTTTAAAGTCAGAACTATAGGCCGCCATGTTTTACAGCACAACGAGATCCAGTGATCAAGCAAACAAGGATTCAGCAAGTCATTCGAGCTAATAGAGACTTCATAATACTTACTTCAACTCAGCAAAGTAGTAACTTGACCAAGAACCCAAAACTTCGAGAAACAAGGCCACTAGAGGCTACGCTAGAGCGAAAAGAGCATAGGCATACTGCTCGTGACGTCACCAATATAATTTCATGTACAATCTACTTCCTGTTTCGCATCCACTTGGTATATATAGTATCTATGATTATAGGAACGACCTGGGGGCGAAGCCCCCAGGTCGTTAAAAATATCCAAGGCTATAGCCCATGGTTTTTTCCAAAAAATGGCTCCAAAATTACCCCAAATTTTTATTACATTTTCTGATATATATTGGGGTCCTTATGCTGTGTAGCAAGTTTGAGCTGATTCCGACTTTAATTTTTCAAGCTATGGCCATTTTAAGTAAATGCCAAAATTCTGAAAAATACCCAAGGCTATAGCCCATGGTTTTTTCCAAAAAATGGCTCCGAAATCACCCCAAATTTTTATTAAATTTTCTGATGCATATTGATTTACTTATTTTTTATAGAAAGTTTGAGCTGATTCCGACTTCAATTTTTTAAGTTGCGGCCATTTTAATAAAATCTCAAAATTTTGAAAAATACCCAAGGCTATAGTCCATGGTTTTTTTTCTGAACAATGGCTCCAAAATCACCCCAAATTTTTATTACATTTTATGATACATATTGAAGTCCTTATGCTGTGTAGCAAGTTTGAACTTTAAATTTTTGTGTTATTATTTTTATTATTTTTCTTGTTTAGAGATGCCATAATAAGAAGATTAGAAAGACAGCTACAGGAGAAAGAGAATGAAATAAAAATATTAAAAGAGCAAAAATCAACTTATACTAAACAACTTGAAAGTAACGAGGAAACAATTGAAGAATACAAAACAAAGTATGTACAGTATATCTGT